GAAAGCAAAAAAAAAAAAAAAAAAACAAAAAAAAAAAAAAAAAAAAAACTGATAATTGCTGTCCCCAGCTGCACCCGTTACTGACCTGGAACACCACCAAAATGCAGCGGATGATGCAGGTATCTCCATTGACCATGGCCTTTTCCATAATATCACAGATGCTGCTGAAGTGACGAGCCTCAATGGGGTGCTGTTTACCCAGCAGGGCGCCCAGGGGCAAGCTATTGCTGCTGGCCGCCAGCAGGTTGAGCTGGTGGATACACATAGCACCTACATGATGAAGCAGCTGGTTGATCACCTCACCAGTGGTCACAGTGTCCTCTGTGAAAGGATGCATTCAGCATATTAGCACATTTCAGAGTTAACCTCAAAACCTTGTGGTTTCCGTGCAGTTTGTGTCCACCTTTGGGTTCTTTGATGATATGGCTGACACCGAGCCTATGGCACACATGATGAAAGGCTTGGTTCCCAGGGTTGCACCACTGATCTATGTAATCACTGGAGCAGGTCCAGATCAAGTTGTTCAGTGCATCGTAACATGCTCCTACAAAGTGAAAAATTTCTGAAATAAATACTGATCACATACGCTATGCACTGTGTTGCTATCTTCTGTGAGTTCAAAATGTACCAGTGAAGTGTAACAAATGTTGAACTCACCTAGCCCAGCCACCTGGGCTCCCCTGCCAAGGGAACTACCTGGTGCATCGATGAGGTCTGCACGGCTGCTGAACTGACCATCAGCCAGGTTAAAGACTAGACTGGAGGCTAAAACTGAACAAAAACGACCAGTTATCTTTTCTGAGTAAACCCAGGCAATGTGTCACATCAGACCTTGTTACTTTCTCTGTACAAATATCTGTGCTCAAATGAACGCTAATACACTTCAGCTGTAACACCATTAATCTTTCATTGAACTTTAAGCTGACATTTTTTAGAGAGCTTGTACACAATATTTGTTATCTACAAGCAGTTAAACATGATGTGCAATAAAATGCTTGGTTTATTTTTGACTTTTCTAGGGACTTGAAAAAAATGTGCATCCACAGTATAAGCGCCAGGCATTATGTCAAAAGGCTCAACACAATGAGGACTGGGCTGCATGTGTGTGTACTCTTACTTTTGAGAGAGGACAGGCTGCTGGTACCTCCAAACAGAGAACGTGTGGCAGAGCTTCCAGATACACCAGGAGGTGAGACTAGCATCACTAGATATGTTCCACACACATACATTGGGGTCTTTCTCAGAGTCTTGAGAGGGAGTCCACAGCTAGTGTTGACAGCTATACAACAGTTAAACAGAAAGGTGTCACCATTAAATATTAATTGCGTATTAAAACATAGTATATGATTTTTGGACTATTAAAATGTTGCTGATGAATTACCAGATTGTTCTTCTTTGACAGTATTGGTGATTGCAGAGCCTGTGAGAGCAGCCAAGGTGGCAGAATGTGAGGCCCGAAAGCGTGACATTCGACTCAAGAGAAGTTCATTCAAGCACTTGGAAGACTCGCCTTCCTTGCGAGTAAGAATAACCCTCTCCTGCAAGATATCTGTGATGCACAACCCTGTCTGTGTCTGCACCATGCACAGTGGAGAGAAAACAGATATCAACAAACTGAATACTCCTGAAATTACTGCATGACAGAGCATATAATACTCACAGATAGGTGAAAGACATCCATGAAGACAGAGTGGCCTTTCTGTGTCTTTTCATTGAGACTGGCTGGGGACCAGACCCAGTACAGGTAGGTTCCATCTGAGCAGAGGTGGAGTGTAGTCATGTTACTGCCCACAGGGAAGTGATGGGCTGGCATGGCCACAATCTGGTACACCTAAAAAAAAAATAAAGGAAAAAAAAAAATTCACACAGTGAACATTAGCCTTGGCTATGGCTATACTCGTCATATTAACTTATCTTATAAGAGCTGGATGGATTTTTAATGGCGACACTCAGACTGGCCACAGCTTTTATATACGGTAGCTCCTGTCTGTGTATGAATTTAAGCATGTATCTCCATTACCATTATCTTACCCTGCCTCTTCAACCCTTGCATTTGCAAGACACTTTACATCACCATTACATTATGAAGTAATAAAACTGCAATGAAAAACAAATACAGCTATAATTACATGTAGGATGTGAGAAAATAAGCATTTTCGTGATATTAGTGTTGAAAATAAAATGCAAGAACATTTAAAATGTCAAATACACTCAATATGCAAAGTCAAACACAACATAACGATGGAATAATGAAATCATACCTGGAGGGTGAAAGGGTCAATGACCTGGCACAGCTGATGAGGCTTGGCATCAAAGGAGGAGGGACGGTGGAGGAGGCGACCACTACTGAACACCACCCAGCCGGGCTCCAGCTCTTCATTTCGACAGTACACAAAACCCCTATACAAACACAGAGCATTCATTTCACTGGTCTCTAATTTTAATTATTTGAACGCTTTTATTTTTCTGCTTGGCTTAGTTGGCATTTTGGTAAAATGCTGTACTTAAGGAGGATGTGACTGTGTCCTGCAGATATCAGTTCAAAAAATGTTCAGAAAATAATGCAGTGCAATTGTTGACTTGAGATGGGTTAGGTGATAGGGGATAATTTTAGTGTTTGACTCTCTCTTTCTGTCTTGCTATTCTTTTTATGCTGCAGCTAAAGAAAGGCAGATGGAAAGGAGTGTCACATTACCTCAGTGTCCCATGTAAACCAGAGCCCAGCTTGCTGAGACCTCTCCCAGAGGAGTTAGTGGTATACAGATAGAGTCCATCTGTGGCTAGACAGCGACCCAGGTCAGTGTCTGCAAGACACAGGCACAAAAAGAATTCAGTAGGAGGTTAATGACAAACACACGACAGCCAACTGGGATAAAAAGTATAGGGAGGCACCAGCAGAGGAGTGGATGAAACCAAGGTGGAGACAACCCTTTGTATTATTTACTTTTTGATTTCGAATACTGTGCTAACTTTAGAGATGCTGGCAAAGAGATGTGGTATTGATCTACTATCATGTTAGCTCAAAAGATAAATGTGTAAATCTGATTTATGGTTAGCTCACATCATTGTACAAGGTCATCTGATCGACTGCTGAGAATTGAGGCACTGCACTAAAATGAGACCAAATGACCCATTGCAATGCACCCTCCACCTTTCATTCTTGTAAGTATTTTAGACACTTCATGCATTTCAGACAAAGGGGATTAAAAAATAGTCTTAAAGATGTATTAAATGGGGCCGGGTGTTGTGTCTCCCGCTACACTACCCACCTCCATGACAGTCTGCTGCCTACAGAGCTTCTGTATTATTATTTCACCTTGTATAAACTGTGTTTTCAAAGTATGCTCTGTAAATCAGTGTTTCCTGCCCCCTAGCAAAGGTTATAAGTAGTGTTTTTCAAACTGCGAGCCAACAGCCAGCCATGCAGAACCTTTTGTCTACTAAAGCTCTGACAGTGTCCGCCAGACCAAAGAGGTTGTGTTGTTTTGCACAAAGAGAGTGGTTTCACTAGACCCTCTTTTGGCTGAAAAAAAAATTATGCAGGTGGCTTTAAGGTGAGAAAACACAGCAGGATGGAGGACAGTATTATGATGGATGACAACATTACGATGAGCAACATCTACTCCACAGCCTGCAAGCCAAGAAACTAGGTCTGTGAACTACACATAAATAATCACAACCGCAAGAGACCTGAATCTACTGTGATCTATTACTCATGGTTTGGTTTTACAAATGTAGAGAAAATGTTTAGATGGGTTTTTACCTTTACTCTCTGCTCCTCCAGCAGAATTATCAGGTGTGGGCAGCATGTCCTCAAAACCCCAGGACACACTGTGTTTGCCCCCCAGGAGGCAAGATGGAGAGCCTGGGCCTCCTTCCAGAAGTAAAAGTCTGAAGCAGGAAAGATAATGAGGTGGTTACACATTAGGAAGGTTACTAATAATTACCTCCCAGATGAACAAAAGTAATGCACTCACCTGTACAGGACATCTGACACAGGGAGCTGGCCCAGATCGGTCTGTTTCTGCAGCAAGTGAACTGTGTGGATGAAGGTCTTCAGAGATCCCCTGGAAAACAGTTTCACAGATTAGTCAGGAGTCTTCAGCATGAAGCCCAAGTGAAAGCTCTTTTTCAAGCATTTCTGGAACTGTAAGTGGAATGATACTTGGCTTGAATCAAGAAGGGGATCCAATGTAATGTGCTTGGTAGGGCTGCAGTGGTATATTGGTTTCATACCATGGTATGAAAATCAATGGTTATCATACCATGCACATTTTCTTATTACTGGTATTGGGAAAAAAAATGCAATGCGCGTGCATCTTTCTTCCCCGACTGCCTGACAGACTCCACAACGGGCGCCACACATAAACATGCAGCGGACAAATGGAAAATAGGTGGCTGAGATCACCAAACTCCATCCAACAAAAAAGAAATTAAAATCAGCAATGCAGGATTACTCTGGACAGCTCAAAATCAAACACCTTCAAGAACACAATCCCTCTTTGCGGATCAAAGTGTGTCCCGTATGACTTTAATCCCAAACAATAATGTTGGTCATAAAATGGGCTATCAAAACAATTTTCACATTCTCTGTTCATTCACTAATCTCTGATTTATAAAAAGACTCACACTGATCCTGATCTGACCCCAGAAACACACACACACAAACTTAACCGCCTCACATAAGTGAGTGCCTAACTGCACTGTCCCACACCTACAATAAACTTGACAACCATTTTGATAATTGTTTTGAGCACTGTGACAGCATTTCTCACTACTGTCAGAAGTTTTACAAACCAGTCAGTTGATTAATGGAGAAAATAATCGCCAGGTAATCTCCTAATAATCCGTAATCAATACTTGCACTTGGACACAAACTAGTACAAAAGAGCTCCACCTTCGCCAACTGCAAAAGTCAAATCCTGCTTTTACATCAATAAATAAGAGATAGGCTACTAATGAAAAGATATAATATATAATAGTATAACAGTATAGGATAGATATATTATTATGTTTTGTATCGAGTAGCCTTCTTCTACTTTTAATACTTTAAGTCCATTTTCATGATAATACTTTAACTTAACATTTTCAGTGCAGGATTTTTACTTGTAACAAAGTAGGTTACTTTTGCAGTGTGACAGCAGTAATTTTACATAATTTTAAGTAAAGGATGTGAATACTTTCTCTACTACTGGTGCTAACATGTAAAATAACATCCTTTAGGTATATGCTTTTTTTTTTAATTAAATCATTTATAATTCTGTTTATCCTGCAAGGTCAATAATGCTGCAGTGCAAGCTAAATCAACTGTCACAGTCACTTGCAATAAAAAACACCCTCTGTTTTCATTCCTTTGAGGAATTCCTTCATCGTTCCTGATAATAATAGTGATTGTGTAATACCATATACCATAATATCATGGAACCTTGGTATTTTCTGAGATTGTTATCACACTGTGAAAATCACATTCCATTGCAACCCCAGTCCTGGGAAATGAAATGCAGTGGTTCTTAAATTTGAATAAAAGAATCGTTTCCATTAGAATTCGATAGAGATTATTTTACACAGCAACTCCCTGCAGGATGTAATGAGCAAATCACTTACGTTTGTGCAGTGTTCATTTCTTGCTTCTCATCCAAAACCTATTAACTAAACACATTCAAGTAATTCTATATTCAGGGAGAAGTGCTATGCAAAGAGCGGGATACTGAAGTGTTATTCTGGCATTCTTTGAGGTTTGTCTCTGCAGCTTTGGAACACAGCCTTACCAGAACATGATGATATTGATCACAATGTCTATGTTTATAATTTATTTCATATTAAATACTGTGCTTCACCAACATTTTTGCAGTGCTACCTCAAGACCGGTGCAATCCAGGGAACTCCTGCTATGTGCTGTGCAGGAATATATTTTCATGTTCTACAGGTGACAGACAACATACTTGAGTCATTATTGTACCAACAGCTACACCTTACTATGCTAACATCTTTTAAACAGTTGATATCAAATCAAATAGTTATATAGTCAGTTTGTGACCTCAACCCTCTTAGCATATCAAGTTTACCAAAGAGAGCTTTCAGCCTTAACAAAGAGTGGAAAATTCTGGTTTTGACAAGTTAAGATCTGTTGTCACCAACAGAAGCCAGAGCAAAAAAACAAGCACATTATGTTCTTCTCTGGGGTGAGCCAAGGTTCAAGCACAAAAAACATCACAGTAAGAATATTAGACTCGCAAATTTAACTTATTTTGTTATTATTGCATTTGTCACTGCACTGTATGTAGGGACATTTCTGTAACACGGGCCCTGTGCCAGAATACAAATATCACTATCAAACACCTGTTTCAAGTTCCGATTGTGAACAGTAGTTTAAACTCAGAACATTATGGTATGGCACCGACACTGAGCTGGCAGAGAGCCAGAAAGCCTGTTTATGCCCAGAAGATTAAGGCTATTGACAAATATCAATCACCAAATATTCAGCTTTTATAGCACATAAATCTAAATGAGACAGCTACAGTGTGTGCTGAATCAGGCAAGACCAATCATATAGCATGTACACTTTAGAGCAAGAAGAGATAAACTAATCACTTGGTCATTTATGTGCTTATTTTAGCTTAGGCTGCCAGGAATGGCTGACAAGCTTTTCTAAAGTTACTAATAAAGTAACTCAGTAGAGTTTTCACAAAAATACTTGCCTTTAACTTTACAGTGACTTCTTATTACTTACTTGTAAAGTCAGAGTAGTGCAAAGTGGCTACTCTAATAAACCTTTACTGTATATTGTTGATTCAATACACTGTCTACAGTACAAAAGCCAATGAAGGGGGCATAACAACAGTGAAGATGGGCAGCAAGGGGAGAATATATGACCTCACCTGGCACAGGCAAGCGCTACAAGTGCAGCAGCAGCGTTTTCCCTCTGTCTGTGCGTGTGGAGGATCTGCGTCTGAGGCTGTCCCTGTGGCTGGCCTGACTCCTGGGTACCGTCGGTCCGGCCTCCCAGCCGGGAGCAGACCAGCCCCTCCAGGCCATTCAAGCAGTCAGCAGGCTCTTTGCTAAGGCTAAGTGGCTGGCAGTCCCGTAGGCAGGCTAGCAGCACCTCTGCTGTGACACCACAGAGTGCTGGGTCACTGCGAGTCTGGGACTGCAAAAGGGGGAAGACCAGCAGCAGACCGACACGGGAAGTGAAGGGTGCCTGCTCGGGTTGCTGGAGTAGACCTTGTCTTTTGAGTAAGGCTAAGGTCTCCTCATCAGCACCTCCAGTCCCCTCTCGCTCCTGCTGTTCCTCCAGGGCCAGCTGCCGCTGCGCCCCCCACAGGCCACGTAGCGCATTGAGACGGTACTCCAGCAGGCGTGCATATGCATTGCTCTGATTCCCACAGACAGCACGCAGACGCTCAGCAAGCTCTACCGGGTTCTTCGTCTCAAATGTCAGAATCTGTAGAACAGGGGGAAACAGCAAGGAAGAAAACAATATAAGTTACATTAACAGCAGTCAAAATGTGACTATTCGCCTGCAGCTTTTAGAAAAGAATACACTTGAGACATGGCAGACAGACCAAATGGTATCTCCTGGCAATACAACCTGAAGTTTCCAAAGGAAGATTTACTCAGGAAGTATGAATTAAATATCAAAAAAAGAACACATCAGTCCAAAGTTTAAATGTTACTGACATGGATCTGAATTTTGGTTTATAAGCAACATTTCTGTATTCTACATTAGTCCAAAATTCGACCAGGGAATAATTCTGCTGAACACTTGGCTTCATCCTAATCTATGTGCTTTTGGGATATAAAAATCTTTAAACTGGTAAAAAAAAAAATACATGCAGGGCCAGTCTACTTTCAGAGTCAAAAAAAACTATTTGTCCACATGGTGTATTACATTTTACACTAACATGCAGTCAACACTTTAGTTCAAAACTAAGATCATTATTTTTTTACATGTGTATGATTTCTAAGTAGGAAATGCAGACTATGAATCACATCCATATAATAAACCCTTGTGTCTACAGTACTCTGGACTAGGAAATAATGGTCAGATAGCAAAGCACATTTGGGATAGCCTCTCACAAGTGAAACAATGTGCTTCATGTGCACTTAGGCAGCATTTCAGATATTGATTACACTGTGTAGCCCACAGATCATGGGCTAGAAAAAAATCCATTATACCATTTAGCAGGTACAATTTGTATTGATTCAATTGCAGAAATGCTACTAATGTTACAGCAACACGCCTTAACTGGACACAGGGCCTTCTCCACCTGGCTCTGCAAGACACTGCTGCAAGTGGATAAAAATAATCAGCATCACAACAGCATTGAAAACAGCACTCAATAACCCAGTCAGTATTAAAGCTGGACACACAGAGGGTCACAAATGCAAAGAACCACAATATAGCCTATATTAAAAAACAGATGGAGCCCCAACAATGTCATAACAACTTTATCTACCTTGTTGTAAGTCACTGTGATTTGCACTATTACAATACTCACAAGGGAATGTCGCCTGCAAAAATCAGACCTATGTAAAAGCACAGAACAGCCCTCAATGCATGTATTCTGATAGACTAAACAGTTATAGACTTAGCAATATTTTGTGCATTTTCCCATCTGAAAAGTCTAGCTGTCCGGCATTGTGCCTTCACCAGCATGTCCACAGTGTTTCCTCTTGTTCTAAAACAGCCTAAACAAAAAGCAAGATTTCAGAAGTTGTATTGGTCCCTACATGTCTGTTATTGAGCTTATCCAAATGACCAAACAAGGGCTCAGCTTCAATCCTGTTTACTGACGTTAATTAATGAACAAGTGGTTTGTCATCTGTCAGAGCTCCTGATATGGCATACTGCATATACTTATACCAACCAAAATAAACAGCATGCGGCTAATGGCTGAACAGTAAAGGAGCCACCTGCAGCTGCTGTGTATCTAACATTGGTACAACTAATGCTCATAGGAAATTAAATTACTGATTATGATACTAATATTACTGCTGAATATAATGTGATATTGAATTGGAGAAAGGCCAATTACATAAATTGTAACTGTTCTGCAACACAGCTAGAAGAATTTTCACCGATGAACGCACCTGGCAAAAGCCTTGCACCAATCTCTAAATAAATAAATCCTACAGTAAGTGTAGAACTTTGCCAGCATGCCTCTTTTCCCATCGTACAAGCTATAAGTCTGACTACTGTTTGAACTGTGTTTGAATATATAAGCACATTAATCCTAATTGCTTGACAATTATAAGCTGAACCTCAATTTATTTTGAAACTTTCTAAGCTTCCTATATGTTGATAAAATACAACATTTCCGTAATTGTTTTAGTGCATCTAAACCAGAAATTTACAAGCATACTATTTTTGATGCAAAACATTAAAAAAAAATATACAAGTATAGTGCTACCAATGGAACTCATGTTAAGGGAAAGGTTGGTGTCAGGTGTGTGTACTTCTGTAGACTCCATTCATAGCGAGTTGGATGAACTATATGTTGTATTTCATAAAAATCTGTAACAGTGTTAACACTAACCTAAATGATCCGGGCTGCAAGTGCAGTAATTACAGTTAGTTAAATAATTGTACTCTCCTAACAGGATTTCAGTGGTTAACATTCACTATCAGTTACTGTCTAATATTGGTCATTATCTTCCATCGACCAGCACTAGCTCATGTTACATGAGTACTGCGGTAAATGTACTCTACAGACTGATAGAGGCTACTATTTGTGGCTCGATTATATGACAGCGTACCGAAATGTCGAGAATAAAAATTTGCATTGCTAGCTCGAAGTTTCTGTCAGCATCACTGTAAAGTCACTAACTATAACATCATACACACGTCCGGTTTCGAGATTTTGCCTTCAAAATAAAAGCCTTCGTTCGAGATCAAAACATGTATTGCTCATTATTCCTAGACAACACAAATAAAATAACTTCTGCCATGCCTAAAACGAATTTAGGGTTAACAAATTTTACGTTATGGGCCACTTGAATAATGTAAGAGAATAAAATTAAAAATGGCTGGCCACAAAAAAAACAAAGGTGTCAAGCAGAGTATAGCTATTTACTATTTAAAAGCGAGTGTTAGACATAACGCTGTTGTGTGTGTGTGTGTGTGTGTGTGTGTGTGTGTTACAGAACAAAATACCCAGGTCATGACAGCTATTCTTTATCATTACCCCCGGGTATACTGTAGTTCTACTACTCAAACACTACAAAACACATGTGGTTATGCAAGTTATCATAAGTCTGTGGGTTAATAGCTACCTAAACCTACATGTTATTACAAAAAATGCTGTCCTCCACACTGCTATTTGTACACTCAAATAAATGTTTAGTGTTTGATGCGATCTGTAGAGTTGGCTACTTGAAAAGCTGCTGGACTAGCACTACTAATGAATGTGCGCAACTTGACACCTGAGGTTGAGAGATATCATTCAGCCTCCACAAATACAGACTGAGATCATGAAATATTACACAGCAAATCAGACGTGATATCCCTTGAACGAAATATCACAGATAACAATATAAACAGATTTTAGACATAACTGCACGTTTCCTTAGTCGTTTAAGTTGTATAACATATTTTGGAGAAAGCCCCCGGATGTGAGTTGACAACAGTTGAGATTAGGTCAATAACAAGCAGGGCAGGAAACTTGCAAACGTTAGCGGTACCGTTATCACTGAGGGTGTGTTGCAGCAGACTCTGAAAACACATATTTACATTAAAAGAAACAAAAAGACACCCCAATCATATCAATGTGCATGTGTTTCTATATATAAACCTATGTGAGCGTGTGTGAAATTACTTTCACCCACCTCTTGCTCGGTATCGCCCTGCTCCGACACTCCAATTTCACTGGGCAGCTCGGCCAGATCTGTGACCCGAATGAGTCCGTCGTGGAGGAAAATTGTCTCCTCCTTCACCGAAAGCCACTGGGACGAATCCACAGCCCCGGAGCCCATCGCTCTCTCCTCCGACAGTGATGCCAAAGGGAGCGAACATTAAAAATTCAGTGACAGAATGACAGAAACGCCCTAGTTATCCTGCTAGCGAGCTACAATAACATAACTGCCGTTACTGTCTCCGTCTTATCTGACGATGGTGTCTGACAAGGCAGACTCTGAGGTTAAGGCGCAAGCTAACAGCCAGCACACAAGCAATGAACAGGCAGTAGCGACAAGTACTCTTCACATAACATGGGTACTACTGTCTTGTTAAGACCGAGTGCTATCTGTCTGGCTTAGTTAGCTGGAAGAGGAGCTAACCTACCGTACGGTTTCGTTATAACGTTACCGATTACAGTGGGCGTGACACCCGTACTAATTCTGTTATTGCGGCGCTGTTAAAACAACAGTCTTTTCAGGATGAAAACAGCATCTGTATCAAGCTCATTTCACAGTTAAAACCTGAACACAGACAACTCCGCTAACGGCCCAGCCGCTATGTCAGTGGCTGCAGAAGATAATGAGAATCTCCCAGCTGTCAGTGCGACGCCATGTTTCCAAGGCCAACTACCTGCTCCCAGCATGCACCGCGGACTAAAATAGCTGTCAAAATTTAACAAGTTCATTTTAATAATACAAGTTATTAGTGTAATAATAGAGCAGAGGGACAAAATATGTAATTGAAAGTTTATGTTATACAATTTTTAAACAAACGTAAAGGTTGGGGGGAGGATTATAAAAAATAGTCACCTGAATCTTTGCTGTGTTTACTGTGCATGAGATTACAATCTTGCACTCAACTGTGCCATCCTTGACATTTATCGTAGTTGTGTGTGATTTAATGTATCCCTTCTTATGATGCTATTACACTAAAAAAAATTTAAGTACAGTAAGTACTAAACAACCTAGCAGGTGGTAACTATGGTCAGTATAGTGTATTTACTGTATAATCATATAAAAATATAAAAGGTGACAAAAGCAAAGCAAAGGCAGTTTTTTAAACATCAAATTATAATTTTTTATGGGGCCCATTAAGTATTCCATAAAATTTTTCATCATCATCACCTTTACTTATTTAGAAAAGGGCCAGTTGAGAGCAAGCTCTCATTCTCAAGTTCAAAACAGCAAAAAATAAGCACATAAATAACATAAAATCTGTATCAAAAATCACAAAACACACATTTAAAACAAAATATATACAAAAAATCAATGTAAAGAAAGTCATTTTAAACTGTGTCCAAATAATCTCTTACACTCACATTTAAACTGTAAAATACTATATAAAAGCAGTTTAGATAGTGATAAAGGAGTTACTGTAGCCAGTTTCTTTTTTTTCTGCAAACTAATCCATTTCTGCATGGCACAGTAACAGAAGGACATCCTTCCTATTTCTGTATTGTTAAAAAAAAGGCTGCAGAACAAGATAAACATGTGAGGAGGTCTGGTACATTGATGACTTATAACTCAGGAGGCATGTAATATATTCAGGCAACTTATTTATACTGTAGATAAATAACATACAATGACACTCTCTTCTCATTGTCAAAAATGGCCATCCTACTTTCTTATATAATTCATGATGGTGACTCCCAAAAGGATCTCCAGTGACAAATCTAATAGCAGCATGATACACTGAGTGAAGTGGTTTCAGGGTTTTGGCATAGGCATGCATATAAATTATATTGCCATAGTCTATTACACATACAATTGTTGCTTGTACCAACTGCCTCCTGTGACACTCATTAAAACAAAATCTGTTTCTGTATAAAAATGAAAGTCTAGGCTTAAGCAAAACTGTTAACTTCTCAATATGCAATTTAAAACTCAGTTTGTCATTAAACCAAAACCCAAGATGTTTATATGCAGAGACTATATTTTAATCTAAATGATCAGTTTACTGTTTTCTAGTAAAAATTTTATATTTTGTTCTACAAGAATTTAAGTTTGGTTTAAGATTAGGAAGATGATGTTGAACAATGTTAAAATCAGGCTGCAAACACCGAAAAGCCTGATCATTGGAGGGGGCCACTGTATAAATGACAGTGTCATTTGCATATAAATGCATTATACTGCTAAATACTTTGGATCCTAGATCATTAATAAAAATAGTGAAAACAGTGGGGCCCAGAATGGATCCTTGCAAGACTCTTCTAAGAATACCCATAAACTTAAGACTTAGAACAGTCACCTACGATACCTTGTGATTTATCAGACTTAAAGACATAAGGCCTGGATGACCTGCAACTTCTTACTTCTAAACTCTGACAAAACTGAAGTTATTGTGCTTGGGCCTGAAAACCTTAGAAATCTGCTGTCTAATCATATAGTTACTTTAGATGACATAGCTCTTGCCTCCAGTACTACTGTGAGGAACCTTGGAGTCATCTTTGATCAGAATATGTCCTTTAAATCACACATAAACCAAGTCTCTACATCTGCCTTCTTTCACCTGCGCAATATTGCAAAAATCAGGAGCATCCTGTCCCAAAGTGATGCTGAAAAACTGGTCCATGCATTTGTTACTTCCAGGCTGGACTACTGTAACTCTTTACTATAAGTATATCCCAATAATTCCCTAAAAAGCCTCCAGTTAATCCAAAAGGCTGCAGCCAGAGTACTGACAGGAAATAGCAAGAGAGATCATATCTCTCCCATATTAGCTTCTCCCCACTGGCTCCCTGTAAAATTCAGAATAGAATTTAAAATCCTTCTCCTAACATACAAAGCCCTTAATGACAAGGCTCCATCATATCTTAAAGACCTCGCAGAGCCTTATCATCCTAACAGAGCACTTCGCTCTCACAGTGCAGGTTTACTTGTGGTTCCTAGAGTCCACAGAAGCAGAATGGGAGGCAGAGCCTTTAGCTATCAAGCTCCTCTCCTATGGAACCAACTCCCAGTCTCAGTTCAGGAGGCGGACACCCTCTCTACCTTTAAGACTAGACTTGAGACGTTCCTTTTTGATAAAGCTTATAGTTAGGGCTGGATCAGGTGACCCTGAGCCTTCCCTTAGTTATGCTGCTATAGGCCTAGGCTGCTGGGGGGCCCCATGATGCTCTGAGTTTCTTTCCCCTCCCCTCCTACTCTGCATGCCGCTTTTATGTCTGTTTCCTTCACAGAGGATGACGCATCAGAGGAGGCCTGGCACATTAAGAAATTCCATATGGCTGATAATCAGTGGAAAAATAACTATATATTTACATCACCGGGCCAGAGCCGGGGTCTGTCGGAGGTTTCTTCCGTTAAAGGGAGTTTTTCCTCCCCACTGTCGCCAAGTGCTTGCTCAAGGGGGATTTGTTGGGTTTTCCCTATGTAATAATATTGATAACAGTAAGGTCTAGACCTTACTTTGTAAAGTGTCCTGAGATGACTTTTGTTGTGTTTTGGCGCTATACAAATAAAATTTGATTTGATTTGATTAATAATTTCTAAACCATCAAATCCAATATGGTCAAGTTTTTTTCAAAAGACTGTTGTGATCCACAGAATCAAAAGCTTTGGATAAATCAATAAAAAGAGCACCACAGTCTAGTTTTCTATCCAAAGCATGTGTAGTATCCCCAACAACCTTTGAGGCCATTGTCATAGTGCTATGACCAGGTCTAAAGTCAGATTGACATGGATTTAGAATGCAATTACTAGTTAAATTTTTTTACCTGATTATTAACAAGCCTTTCCAATATTTTAGCCAGACAGGAGATTTATGGTGAAAGTTATTGAGTTCATTTGAGGGTCCCCTGTTATGCAATGGTACAACATAGGCAGTCTTCCACAGAATAGGAATGCTTTCTGTGAATAAAGTCAAATTAAAAATATGAGTAATACATTTCCCTCAATTAGTGGTGCAGTTAACTGCAAAAGACCTGGATGCAAATAATCTGCCATTTTTGGGTCAAAAGAATGAAGAGCATTTGGGACTTCATCACAGGTAAAAGGTGTAAGGGCAAAACTAGGCGACACCGGGCCTCTAGGTAGGTATTGATTTCCATCAGAATCAGGACAATTTTGTATCATAGTGGGATTATCAAATTAAAAACAAAACAAAACAAAAGCAAACAAACAAAAAATCAGAAGAAACAAATTCCTCATTAAAGACGTCACACATCTTGGACTTGTCAATAATCACAACAGAGTCCTTAACAAGCTGGTCAGGTAAGAATGAATCAGAATTTGATGACATTGATCTAAATTTCCAGAACATTGCTACATTACCATCACATTCAGGTCAAGCTGAGACATAGTAAGATGATTTTGTTTTATGTACAGCTAAAAAATATTTGTTTTGTAAATGACAAAAATGTTGCCACTCAGCAGCAGATTTAGACATATGTGCTCTTTTCCTGGCTTTAATTATAGTATGTGGCATTTCTGCTAATTCGGTTCAAAACCAGGGATTTTGCTACTCCTGAAAACTGAAGATTGGGGAATGGATCTTTGAAATTATTTCAAGCAACTAAAGTAGGCAATTTCTATGTTCTTCTGGGTTGTTTTGCAAAGCAGTTTGGCATATATTATTTTTCCTTACTGGATCAGTATGTAATATAGATATTAGAATACCTTTACGATGATGACTTACACACATGATTTTGAATCAGTGACTATATTCCAACTGAAACAAACAAGCAAACAACAAAAAGGGAGTTATTACATTTGCAAAGCACAAGCTGATGGTTTGTAGTGTCATGTCAAAATTTATTATAAATATATTACATATATATGCATCCATGGCATGCTTACAAAAATATAACAGTATTCAAGGATTTTAGTCCCTAAATATTTACATCCCACTGCCATTATACACCATCAGAGAGAAACAAAAAATGCAGCAGAAAATGTAAAGCTTATAAAATTCTTTGTTGCTACACATAGCAGGTTAGTCTATGATCATGTGAGCGGTGCCCTATTATCAGCTTCTCTTTCCAGCCTTAGGCATCGCTTATAAAGGCGAACAGGAATCCCTCTCTTTTTTCCATTGCTTGGATTTCGCACCCCAGGAGGGTCTTTTTCCTCTGTCTTCTTAAGTGTTTGAAGAAGGCCAGAAGCTTCAGTGAAGCCTCCAGAACAGCTTGAAAAGAAACATGAAAAAAGTATGAGAAACAAACCCAACCTAATAATCTGTTATATAAAGTCTATCTAGAGTAGAGAGTGGTAGTGCTTTATAACCATCATGAATAAGCATACTAGTGTGTAAAACCTTTTCCTGCTGTGGCATTTTTTATCCTTTGGAAGTTTAAAGCAGTACTGAGATATGAAATCCATCAGTAGTGTAGAGAGAACACTGGGCTGCTTGAAGCTTTCAGCCTGAACAGCCAAACTGTAAATTTGATAAAAAGACAAGCAGAGGTCATTCATCATGTCAAATAAAAAAATAAGAGACACAAGCCATAAAAGTTTAGGAACTGAAACAATGTGTGATGTGCATGTGTTTCTGACTCAAAGTAAGACAAAGACACAGAAAGAAAAAGCTGCCTGTAGGGACAGGCCTTCCTCATACAGTAGATAAGAATGAGGAATAATAGTCTTACTAATCGCATGTTGCTGTAACCCAAATGTATGTTGCATATAGTATTAGGAGGCGTATAATTCATAGTCAGATGTGAACAACATTGTCATCACAAACTTCCATCAAAAATGCACTAAAATTTAATATGTGATTGTAACTGTTATAACTCTCAACATGACTCCCACAGCTGAAATGTTGATTGGTCAGTCAGTAAGATTAATATTTCATCAAGTTTCCCAGTGAGTCATTTTGATATGTTACATCAGAATCCACAGGTGAAAATGATAAAACTACTGTATGCATGGCTTAATTTGTTCTACAAGAATTTAAGTTTGGTTTAAGATTAGGAAGATGATGTTGAACAATGTTAAAATCCACATAGCTGTTTCACTGTCATGGCTTACTGGGACACTTGAATAGAACTGAGTCACCGTTAATGTTATTAGTTACACCTGTGTCTACTGTAAAAAGGTCTATACCTGGAACTGCTAAACCTAAATAGAACACAGCCGTCGTTAACATTATTAGTTCCACAACAGCGGTTTTCCTGCTAAGACCCACCAAAGTGTGTGTGTTGTGAAAAAAGGTCCACTGATGGGTCTCTACATAGATGTAACTATTTTATAAACAACAGTCCTGTTTATCATAGTTCTGGTAAATTTCCACCTTACAGTGTACCTCACCCCCATCCCAGTCATTGTAATGAATGGAAACATTGTGCTAGAAACAGCTTTGCAGTAGTGTTAGAAGTTAGGCAATATTGTCCTTTGAACAAAAACAACACCCCATTTCACTGCAACCCACAGGCAGGTTTTTTGTGTATGTGTGTGTGTGTGCGCATGTGTTTCTGTGCAAAATAGGAAGTCTGTCAGACATAAATACCCACCTGGGATAAATAAAGTTCTCAGTTATTAAATAAAGTTCTCTGATTATGATTCTGAACCTAGGTGTAGCTTAGCAATGCAAAATATCACTGGGGTAAAGCATTTAGTCTGCACTGGTTCAACCCAGTTTTATTTTCTTGGCCTCAGTGGACTATGTGGCAAAGCTGTTTCCAGGGGTGAAAATAATGTTATGTTCAGGTATTATAGTGTGGCCAAAACACACAAGAAAATAAAACAATAAGTTCTAAGCTGTGAAGTTGGAATTTAAGGCTCTTAAAACTTATTGATATATGGTGTTTACCACTGTAGAACAGGCCTAACATACTAGCACACTGGGATACATTTCGATTACTATAAATTCAGGGGTAAAAATGGCAATTTCCATTTGTGACACCTTTGCATGGTTGCATATGACAATACAATGACAAAAATGTACAAAAAAAAAAGTAAAACGTGCTTTTGCGTTACCGGCTGATACAGCCACAGTGGTAGGCAGTCTTTGACTCCATGTTCTGCAGATCATACTTCTTCTCCAGAGGAGGAATTTTGTATTTACATTCATCCAGATGTTTGAGGCTTCCACACAGGAGCTGAATATCTGCAGGAGCCAAATAAACACCAGTTGTTGCACAAATGAACTAGTGTACACACATTTCTTTCAAAAGTAAGAAGGTTGCCTGCTGAATATCATTCTGTCCCACCTGTAGGGGGCATAATACCTCAGTAGATGGAGCTTCTTAAAAAACATAATGCCCTGGGCCACCTTTTTAAATGCAATAATCCCACTGGAAATTTTGCAGGGTCTTGGCACCATATAGCACCATAATAAATAAATTGTTTTAATAGTGGCATTTTTTACTTTTGTCTGTCATTCATTTAAAAGTTGTTCACTCACATATAGAATGTTTGTAATTCATTACGTTTACTATTGATCAATAAATGCAAAAATCAAATGATACATTAGGACACTGTCACCTCAAGACTATACCAGCCAGGGTGGCTCAGTGATTTTGCAGGTAGTCAGCATTCAACAGAGATAAATTACACTGAAGAGAGGCCTTGATGGCTTTAACTGCAGTAAACCTCAATACCTGCTGACTCATAGCTATCTCATACCATATCCCTTATCATCATAATCACTCACAATAAGTCTGATGTTGTGAGGAGGGGCCTCTTATGCTTCAGAATGCCTCTGTACATGTGATCAGCAGCTGCATAGACTCACCTGTCATGTTATGAAGTGCATTGCTTTGTTTGAGGTTTTTCTTGGCATGGGTGTTTTGGGCTATAGTACTACCCATAGGATCCTGGCTTGTATTATCCTGCAGTAGATGGGAGTCCAGCTGCTTTTGTGGCTTACCATTCTTACGAAGGGGGCCAGATCTCTTTAGTTTAGTTGTGATGGGTGTTGAAAAAGTAACTGTATTCCATAGTCTTTTCACAGAGTCTTGTTTGGGTGTTTGGGGTTCTGTTGTCTCTTTGAGCTGTAGTGCCCTAAGTGTTGTGGCTTTGATTGGTAATCCATTAATGGTTATTGCAGGTTTGACAGTTGTCATGTGAGAAGTTGTTACTTCTTGCAGACAATTTTTACAATGTGGCCAGAAAGGGTCACCCCTCACAGGAGTCCTGGATCTACAACAGCGACTCGGCTTTGGAACTATTTTGTGACTTTTCATGGCTTTGGTCACTGCTGTAATGGCTGTTGGTAGGTGCAGGTGAAGTGCTGGCATCTGTGTTGTTTTTGTTGTAGAGGTCACCTGTGGCGGAACTTGGCTTCCTGTGGTGTAAGCCAACAGGCCCTTTCTGGAGCTCTTCTTTTTTCCAACTCTTTTTTTATTTGTCATCAGTGTGCTGTTTTTGGAAGGATTTAAAAGACCTGTTTTCATTGACAGAGTAGTGGTGTGTGTCTTTGACGTTGTGGATATTTGGGAGGGTGCTAGTGTTGACAGCTTCTGGGGTCTTTTACATCCTTTGCCTTTTGTCCCTCTGTGGAAACTGTCTCCCCTAGGCGGGTCTCTGGAGCTGCATCTACGTTCACTTTTGGGTGATTTTCTTTCGGTTACATGCTGCTCCTCACTTGTTGACTTGTTGCTGTCAGTGTTCTCTTCATATTTTCTTGAAGCATCAGAGGTGTTGTAAGGAAGGGGGCTTTTGAAAATGGCATATGGAGCCTTTTTGGCTGTTTTACACCTATAGAGAGTAAATGTTAAGACCAACACATGGAAAAAGAGAATGTGTACCACATTCCTCTATTTAATAAAGCAGAGGTACACTTTGTATTGCTGTTTTGAATATAGCATTAATGCTGTAAAAAAGGATTAGGCATGAACCATTGTTTGTAAGATGATTTGTTAGTGGCCTGATACACCCAATTGTGGAAATGGAGGAGAGGTGGGACAAAGTGCACTTCTTGATTTTGTGAGGTTGGGCAAAGTGTCAGGCATGCTATTGCTAGCCCAATGTAACTGCATCTACACTGTACACTGAAAAAATGCCTTGCTTCACAGTCTTGTTTTATTGTTGCTTGTTAACATAATGAAGTTAAAGCTTCAAAAAACATTGTCAGTGTTTCACTTACGTTCCCCACCAGTACATCTCAGTGCATCGCCTCTGCTGTTTTAGCTCAAAGCAGGGAATCCGCAGGATGCTGAAGAAGCTGTAGCCCACCATATGGGAAATGGTATCATTCATATCCAGAAGGCACTGTCGAAACCTGGTGAAAGGCAGGAAAAAAAACAAGAGAGTTAGAAGCTAAACAAACTACACACATTTGTAAGCACTAGATGTGACGTGAGAATAAAACAGACATCTATGCAGATTTAAACATGAATTTGTGAGGAGCAATCACAAAAATAACAAATATCATATTCACGCTCGACATCAAAAATTTATTCAGAAGACTCAATCCTGGATGAATATTTACATCATCTGTCCCCAGATTCTGCTACTTACTATAAATGGCTTTACATTTTTTGGCATAGTGACAAAATAATGTGACACTATAGGATTCCAGAGTGGAGACACTAAGTAATTGGTTTGAGGTATAAAATACACCAACTACTGCAACACTTTTAAATATAACCTCTGAATATGAACATTACGGGGCCAGTCAGGGAGCGATATGAATTACTAGTTTCCCTTGAAGTAATGGATATTTGGAATCCAGAGTGTTAGGTGTGCATTCTGAGGCTCACCTTTGGTCACAGTCACAATGTGAGACCACGTAGAAGTTGGGATTGAAGACCCCGTAATTCACTGTGAAAGCATGGATGATATGCGGGCAGTGGTCATGCTCACGGCAGCATCTGTCTGCATTCTCAAACATTCCTATGCACGAGAGCAAGGTTTTAATTCAATCACACATCAAAGGACACTTTGCACGGTCACAAGTCTTTGAGCACAGAGTGCTTACCTGATTTAATCTCAAAAAGCATCAGAGTGTTTTGTTAAAAGTACATTTGTCAGAATTGCACAGATTTCATCCTGAATTTTATCACCTTATAACCTAAGAAAATCACTCATATCTCTACCAACATTTGGGAAGAAAGGTGGAAAACTGTTCTAACCTGTAGGCATGTGCAACAGGTGCTTAAAAAAAAGATGTGGCACAAAAGTGGCATCATGATAACATTTCCAAACATTCATGAAGAGGCAGTCTACTTACTATATCTTATATTACATTTTTTATGTGTTCATTTTATTCACCACTAACTAGCCTACTAGTGAGACATACCATAGTATATGCTGCTTACTTTTCTTCTCATTTCATCTTCTGTGATCAGAGCTCATCATATTTCAGTCACTTTTATTGATGTGCAAACGCTGCTAAATCTTAACATGCAAAGCCATTTACAAACATATCTCCAGTGCATGTTCTATTTGTTCACAAATACAGAGAAGATTCCACTGAACTGGAAGAATCATTAAAAACAAAACTGTTGACCATAATGTAGCTATGTTGATGATGGTCTGATGGTCACTGTTGAAGCAGCACAGTGGATGACAATGTGTGTACTGTAAACTTTCATTTAAAGAACTTACTTAGGCTTGTTTTTTTTAAATGTGACAACAGTATAAATGCCCTCCTTTTTTGTTATGGTGTAATTTTTGCTTTTATTTTCATTTCTGTATAATTTTGGTCAATAACATAATCCAAACAATGCCTAAAAATATCAAAGGTCAGTTCATCTTTACACTATTTTCCTGGGACTCTTTTGGACATACTTTCTCTATCAAAACGACATTTTAAGAAATGGACAATTCAAGTCATTCAAATTTAATGTATTTCAATAAAGCGATTTTAGGTCCAAAAAGCAGGAGAGGGCTCCAAAAACTCCCAAGGCCCAGGCTCCCTGTGGCTGTTGGCATCCTATACATGCCATATGAAAGTGAAAAAGTCAGAGTTCCTCACCTAACTGCTCGTATCCGACCGCTTTGCTTCCTTTGCCGCACCACAGCGTTCCTGGCAATGTCCATGCGCGCTTCTTCCGAGCTTTTCCCTCAGTCCCATTTCTTTTGAAACGCCTGCCATACTTTGGCGCACTAAAGGCGATATTCGCGCAGAGAGCCCCCGGAGCCAAAACTGTACTGATATTAAACCTCTGTGCAACTTCTTCACCCTGCTGGGTGCTGCTACTGTCACAAAGAGCGCGGTACCTTTCGGTGACGAATGGATCGGTATTTACTTCACATGCTGACAATCGCGTGTCGGACCACAGGGTGAGGTACAAGGAGCGCACACCGGTTGTGTCCTCTTGCAGAAATGTGACGCGCATTTGTCCGTCTTCGGCAGTACTCCATCTGAGACAGGAGTGTCCATATCCGATTACATCTTGTGCTTTCCAGAAAATTAGCGATGACAAGTGGAAAGCAACTTGTAGGAGGAATCTGTTTTGCATCTCAGTGTAAAAATGCGTCTAATCAGCCCCGTTTAATACAAGTTGATGTATTAAATTAATCCCTGAATATACGAATTATTCCAAAGCATTAGTGTAGTTCTGTACCAGCCGGCTTTTGTCTGTGTGAGGAAGGCATGTGTGCCTTTAGAGTGCACGGTTGGCGTTGAGATAGTCTTATTGGTCTATTGAGATGGAGGCTCGTGAGAAATATGACACTCCACACTTTTACGTGCGTATTTGAGTGCGTGTTCTGACTCAGACGGAGTTTGGTTTGTGTTAGATTCTGCTAAGCTTTTTGAAAGATATAAATTAAGTTTAACAAAAAATGTATGAAAATGGTTCTTTGAGTGATGAATAGGCTATATGCATTTGATCACTATAACCTTAAGGCATTTCCTTATAACTCCAAGGTGTAAAACCTAAGGTGCAGAGCTGTTCAAACCTGCAGGAGTTTCCAGCAGGTGCTGAACAGGACAAGGTGTGCTCAGGGGTAGCACTGAAGAGGGCGCATTCTACTTTGTGTCTTATATAACGTTTCTAATTTTTAAAATCAGAGTCTTGTCATTTTCATTAGATTTTTATTGATCTGTGTAAACTCTCTGCAAAACCTTTACATGCAAAGTTATCTTCAGACACATTTCCAGTGCATGCACTATGTATTTACAAATACAGAGATAAACCAAGAAACAGAATCAAGTAGAAGACAGCTATGGGTTTAGCTCAGAGAGAAGCCTGTTTTTCTTTAAAAAAAAAAAACTACTGATTATCGTTTATGCTGATCATCATTTGATGGTCACTGTAGCTCAAGTAGCACAACATAAAACAGTGTGTGGTGCTACTGGTGAGTGATTGAATCACTGCCAACCCTGGAGCACACTTGAACTACAGAGAAAATAAGACACTGGAGGGTTCTGGATGTCTATATGTACAGAATGAGATGACTCTATATGTCTGCTACTAATAGAGTTGGAAAGGTTTTTTGTTAATGAGCTCAGTTGATTACCAGTCTGGAATGCTATCAAACCAGTTTGTTCAGATTATGCCGTAGTCATGCAGAATGTGGGGTTCTGTATTTAAAGCATGGAAATGCTATGGAGAATAAGTGTAAACATTAATGGAATTACAACAGCATTCCTTTCTTACAAAGTATATATATATATATATCTTGAACTATAAGACATTTCATGCATAGGATTGTTTTGTTTTCATCTTTGTTCTGACATTGGAATAACTTGCAAATAGCTGTATAAATTGAGGTCGTTACACTTTGTAAGGTGTGCTTTTTGTGGTTTGCTATGATTTGTGAACAAACACACACTAAAGCCTTGAATGTTTGGGGTGTAGCAGGGGGGAAAGGGCCCTGCTTTGTGCAAAGGGTGTGTTGGGTAAAAGTGGCCCCGACTGCCCCAGGCACACAAGAGTCAGGAGCACAGTGCATGCAGGTAAAGCTGCACATACTTATGACCTAACTTGTTCCACCTTGTCTCCTTGTTAAGTGGAGCAGCCAAATTTGTAAGGAAAACCTGTAAGAAACCTGACTGTGTGCGTTCAGTGTAAACACTGCAGTAGAAAACTGCGACATTCAGAAGACAAGAAGTAGCAGGGGGAGAAGCCTTTTTCCTGCTAATTCTCAACACAACAAGGAAATGAACTGAAAAATAAACATTGTCTTTCACTTTTCAGTTTCTCTATTCAAACAGGTAGTATCTCCTATAAACCTAATATTGACACCTTAAACAACCACACATAAAAACACCTCATGTTTCATTAGGTGTGCTATAATTTTACAAATCACAAATTAACAGCAACTGATGATAGCTTCATTTAGCTCATGGCCCACTGACTTATGAATCATCTCTATATCAGATGTCTATCCTAACCTGAGCAGTGTGTCAGTATGTAAACATTTGTTAATGGAAAACACAACATGTTCAGGACGGTGGTCACAGTTGAAAGATCTGATTGTGCAGCTGTATTGTTCTTATGTCTGTGGTCTGTGGCTTGGCATGTTTATACAGTTCAAATGCTACACTGCAGCATGACAAAATCAATGGGGGGGGAATCAAACATGATACCCTGACAGTCTAAGGAATTTTAGGCATGAGTTCAGCTGATGCTTTTATGGGCTTTAACAATGGTTTTGACCTTAAATGCCATAACATATTGCTGTTCTTGTTCTGTGCCTGTGCAATGCAAATATATTTTTTCTTTCTTATTTTTTAGCAATATGTCCCCATTCCATTCACAATATAACATCACTGAAGACATTTGTGCAACAGTTTGTTGACAGATCTGTTAGTTACTGTACATTAATGAATTTTTCAGTTTATGATTAATTTGAGAGGCAGATTAAGTATCTGCACAGGTGGAGATTGTTAATAAGAAGACAGGTAAGAAGAGTATATTACACCAAGGAAAAGGACAAACGTGAGCAGTGCCTGTGAGATGGTCGGTTGTGAAAGAATAGACAAAAACAAGAAAATAGAAAAACTAGGAGATGCAAACCAAGTAAAGATGGATAGGTGTTAGCACATGCTGCATGGGGGAAGACAAGTGGTTAATCACTAGCGACGTGATTCTCGTTCAACAAGGTGTGCCAGCGCTCAATCTTCTTGTCCTTGTTCTTCAAACACTCGTACCAGTGTTTCAGCCTCTCGCCTTTGGCAGTGATACCCAGCTGACATCCACCTGTCAGGAAGGAAGTGAGGTGATGTGTGAAGCACAGGCGGTGAGCAGGTGAGAATTTCAGTACACCAAAGAAGTGATACTGATGAAATATTTACCAATGTAATCGTTGGACTTCCCAATATCATAATCCCACACAGAGATATCTAAAGTCTTCTTGGCCAGTTCACTATGTTTGATGTCATAGCTGAATTCCTGAAATTCGATCGAGATATGAATTAATAATTTCCAAAGCCACTTCCCAACATTTTTCATACATGAGTTGCAAAGAATATTTTGCAGCTTTTCACCTTGAACTCTCTTACAGACCTCATTAAACTCTGGGTTTAAAGTCCTCTTCTTGATTTGTGTTTTGCACTTGCCCTTCTTCCCCATGTCAGGTTTCAGACATCTGTAATATGCATGCATATAGAATTTAATTTATGCCATTTCTAGATTCATACATTTAAAGTCTAAATGTACATCTTATCTGCTCTACCTACATTTTGACATATGGGTCAGAGTAGCCATTAGCATCCATGGCAGCCAGGTGAACGCAGCGCACAACACCAACAATGAGACGGTTCTGTTGGGTGCTGTACATGAGGGAGATCAGAATCCGACCACGTTCTTCTACCTCTCCGGCATCTTTCCCTGGCTAAAAACACAGAGCAGAGGGTTAAAAAAAAAAAAGCAGGATTCAGGATAAGATCTGCATGCACATATGTTGGAATCCATCATGTTTAGACATGCTTAAAATAAAAGCATTGCCTCATCTTCATAAAGAGCGATGCCCCTGGCTGACCCAACTGTTGCAGTTCTTTTTGTCTGTGAAGGGGAACAGGGGGAACAAGAATAAAGCAGGTCAGTGAGAGATTCAGACAAGGAGAATGAAGCACTGTTTTGCTGAAAATGAGTTTCACTCACAGGGACCACTCTCTCGAGACACACATTAAAGTTTCTCTTCTGGTTCAGCTTCAGTTTCTTTAGCGCCACTCGAGTTTCCCCAATAAAATCATTGTGCCCAAACTTGTCTTCGTCACAGACAGAGAGTCTGTCCAAATCAAAAGAGTTACACCTTTAAAAGAGTCAATTTAGGGCAGATACAGTTTGAAACATGAATAAGGCTGTTGCTGCTGAGTGAGTGTCTAAGGTACAGTATCCACCTGAGGGTCTTGCGCTGCATGTCCTCATCTGTCAAACCGTGGTAGGTGAGCGTCTCATTCCACATAGGGTTGCGTGTGTTTCTCAGGGTCTTTGTGCGTAGCTTGTTAGACTGTTGGATACAGTGCAGACCAGGACAAGGAAATGGAAATATCCTGAGGTAAATTTTTGCTATATGCAATCTCACACACCTGTGGTTTGAGCCATTTTCTCATAATGAGTGTCAACATAGTGCTGCTTGTCATTCAAAATTGTGTTTGTGCAACTCAGACCTGCTTCATACACAACACTAATAATGTACATTCACTACAACCTTTACTTTATGAAGACTGCATCAATATTTATTTGTCATCACACTTCCTTTTTTGCTTGACTGGATATTAAGGTAATAAATCTTATACAAGAAGTAAAATCCTAATGTAGGATGGGTTCCTTTTGTACCTTACTGGCCCCTGGCAACAGATGGAGCTTGACATAAGGATCGGCCAGTCCATTCGAGTCCATGGGCTTCAGTCCCTGAGGAGAGACAAATCACTGTGTCTGTCACATCATCATGAAAGGCAAGGAGCAATTAAGCTAAAGTGTCATTCGGAAGCCTTTTAACATAAACCACTTGATTGTAATTGCCCTTTTGTGTGAGAAAACGAGGAGAATAGTGGTACCTTTGCTTTGAGGATGCTACAGTGGAGACTGTTGCTGTCCTGTTCATAGAACAGACTGAACTCTAGAGAGCCCAGGGTGGCTGAAAGAGACCCAGACCAGCCATCACATTAAACTACAGAGACAACAAGTTTGTTCTTGAATATTTCAGAGTATAAATACAGGGAAATATTATCTTGTAATTATAAAACTCTCTGCTTATGAAGAGAAGCGAGAATAAGCACCAGACCATCAGAATGGACAGAAAGGATGGTCACTCATGAAACAATCATAGCCTTCTAGTTATCTTATGTAAACAGCTGAAAAATGCCATCACTAAACAGGACCATATTGAAATGAAATAAACACATTTAGAAAATAAGGTTCTGGGTAAGAAAAAATAGTCTGAAATGCTGCCAACTCATATTTTCTTTGGAGAAGATTAGATTACATAGCATATCTGTTGGGGGACAAAATGATGAAATTTGTTACATTTTCTTTTATAGTGTTAACTTTTGTGGGCTGAGATTTAACTCTAAACACAATGCTCTTCTAACAACACTAGAAGACTACAGCTATGGTAGTCCATTGTTAAACATCCATGTGGTAGCGGCTTTGCAAGGCCCAACCTGGGCATTGAGCTAAATGCTAATGTTAGCTAGCTAGCATGCACATGCAGTGACAATGCTAATTTGCAGGTGTTTAGCAGTTATAATGTTTACCATGTTAGCATGCTAACATTTCACTTAGCACTAAACATCAAGTACCGCTTGGAATGATGAGAATGTAATTTGTTTTCATCGTTTTAACTTTTTTATCTGTTTTTATTTTCATTGTAAAATTAAAACCTCAAATATTGATGATCAGACTATGGTATATTCAAAACTTATTTAATTATTCCCAATCAAATTTTCTTGAAAATACAATAATTTCCTGTTATTAAACTGAAACAACCAAGACAGGACAGCACCATATCACAATTACACGGAGAATAGACACATGAAACCACCTACTAGTTCTACCATTTTACCTCCCAAACCCAGGGTATTGAATAAAATATAAGAGGAATCTATATTCAGTTACCCATGTTGTATCTTAAATTATTTGCACAGCTCCATATTCCAGGGCCTCAGTAAAATAAATTAGCATCCAATACACCAGAGTGAGAATAAAGACTGTTTGATGCTGCAGGCACTGAACATGAATGACATAGCACCATTCACATAATTAAAACAGGACATGGGAGCTTTTTTACTTTGATATTACATAGCTTGTGTATCAGTATTAATTTAGTGATTCACATCATGATTCCCCTCTTCCTATTCTTTAGTTTTAGCTATATTGATTTTCATACTTCAATAACATATAGTGCTCATCATTTGTCATTCTCTACCCAGGTCAGTAGACACTGCCAGAATGATCCTTGCTGTTTGCTAGGACTACTGAGTAGTTTATAGATATGAATTATTACCAGCAGACTAAAAAACAAAAATTAAGCATCAACATGGTAGGACTCAGAATCCCTAAGGGGAGTAGAGATGCTGCAAATTAAAGACATCAAAGTCCATTCAGGTATGCTGGATGACAATATGTTGTGTTTTATTAAAAACAAAACAAAACAAAACCCATGTATCTTAAACAAGTGGAAAGAAATCACAAATGTCAAACTCTACATTAGGTGTAGTTAAACTAGACACATCAGCCACATTACTCCACAAAAAAGAGAGCAGATGGTGTACTCACTGGCTTCATCAGAGTCATAGTCGTTGGCCTCCTCCTCCTCTTCAGGTGGAGGTTGCTGTCGGATGGGGTGAGCACTGTAGGCAGCAGGCTGCCTCCTTTCCTCTCTGACTGCAGGAGGCACTCTCTGCTCTGGAGGAACTGCAGCAGACAAGTATGCACCTCCATCTCCTGCCACTGGCCCTACAACCACATTCAATCATCTGAGAATACATCACATAAGACTACTGGAGATGCAGTATTTGGTTATTGCTTGGGACTTTTTGTAAGGATTGTCTCCTAGCTGTCACTCACCTTGCTGGGCCATAGTGGCCAATGCAGCAGGTTGTGGTCTAGAGCTCTGGACGTGCAGCACCTTCTTCATCACCACTGGGCTGCTCTGCCCCACCTCTTCAGGGCCAGCCCCACCTGTGGCCATACGCACAACTGATGGTTTAGGGGCCACAGGTGGGTAACCAGCACGGCCCCGCTGCTCTGATCCTAAAAATAAGCATGAATAATACAGCAAACACAGAGACACACTATACATAAGGGGAATATGCAAAATCATGCCACTTTAGGCTCCTGCTGCAGTAAAATCTGTAACACTCCCTGGTCTCGCTGGATACTTTTGTTATTGTAGCTTTTCCTTGCAAAGGCATTGAACTACATACACTACAACACGCAGTGGCAGCCAACTATTGTGCATGCAACAGCTATAGTGTGCTTTTGTGCTCCAGCTACCCGACTCATTTATGGGGAAATTGTACTGCATAGGTAATCACGCTGAAAGTGTGAAATGATGCAATATCGTGCCAGCACCACCTGGAGGCCCATCCCATGCCACAGCATGCATCTTCCGACAAATTAATTGAGCTGTTCATCCCCCACCTCTGCAACAGTGGGTGGTACTGTCAAATTTGGGAAGCAGATGAAAGGTTTGATGGGTGGGAAAAGAGCAGTGAGAGGTGGACTCATGTACAGATACAAATCTAAGGAGACCAAAGAAGTGGTGCTTTCAAAAACTATTTAAAGTCGGACTGAAATTAACATTCATTTTTGCTGAGAAATAAACATGTATAATGTATGGTTGTTTTGGACAGTTTTTGAACCCCCTTACTTTTTAAACACTTCATTTAATATTAAATTCATAAAACATTTTATCCAACCAAAAATAATAATAAAGTGGAAAGATGTTTTTAGAAAAAGTAATAATGGGTGAATTTAAAGAGATTTTAATCTTTAGGAAACTAGAACCTATCAAACAGTGTTATGGTTGTTAACCCTTCCACTTGTGCTTTTCTTAATCTACTAATACATTATTATTTTAACTCTTGAATACAAAGTTCATGTGACTGTATGACTGCGTTCGTTCTATAATGTATTAAAACTGTTGTTTAACACTGTTGTTAATGCTACTGTCTCGGCCAGGTCTCTTAAAAATGACACTGGAATCTCAATAGGACCTTTACTGGTTAAATAACATTAAAAAAAAAAGCAAAAACACATTTTTAAAATTTTTATTTAAAAAATCAAAAGCTGAAATCTCTCATTTACATAAGTATTCATAACCTTTGCTGTGGCACTCCACAGTTAGGTCAGGTATGTTCTTTTTGTTTTAATTATTCTTGATGTGTCTAGAACTTGACTGGATGGCAAACTGAATTAACAGGCAACCTTTAGAAAGGCATATGTCTCTGTTTTTAAGGGATTCACACTGCATATCAGGACAAAAACCAAGCCATGAAGTCCAAAGACTTCTCTGTAGACCACCATGATAAAATTGTGGAGAGGTTTTGATCAGGATAAAGATATAAAAGCATCAGCTACATCATATAAATCCAAAGCTCTGATTGTTCCCACAAGCCCAGCTGCTTCAGCAATTGTGAAAGAAGAAATAAAGAAGTTTGGAACTAACAGGACTCTTTCTAAAGTTGGCTGCCTGGTCAAACCGAGGAAAGACAAGCCCTGGTCAGGGAGGTGACAAAGAACACAGCTATAGAAGCCCTCTGAAGAGATGGGAGAACCTGCCAGAAGGACGATCACCTCTTGGAAAATGTTGTATCATGTTGAAGTCTGGGATTTGACCGGGACACCCAAGAACAGTCAGAGACTTGTCCCACAGCCACTCTAGTGATGTCTTGGCTGCATGCGTCTGTGACCTGTCCCACTCACAGGCCACACTCTGGAGCAGTTGTTTTTCAAGGACTTCAGCTGTATTTAGTTTACTTTTTTTTCTCATCAGACAAGAAAATCTTTTCCTCATGTTCTCACAGTCCTTTATATATTGTTGGGTAAACCTCAGTTTCTTTATTATGTCCAAAAATTTTTTATCCCCTTCTGAAAATATATTTTCCAAAATCATATTTTAAGTATATATAAATACATTTATTTCCTTGCATAAAAATTGAAAATTCAAATTTCAGTTCGGATTGGTGTCTCTAAATTGCCCATAGGAGTGCATGTGCGTGTGTGTGTGGTTGTTTGTCTATGTGTTAGCCCTGCGATGGCTTGGCGACCTGTCCAGGGTGTACCCCGCCTTGCCCGATTGCCGGCCGGGATTGGCTCCGGCCCCACCCGTGACCCCGCTCAGGGATTAAGCGGTAGAAAATGAATGAATGAATGAATTTCAGTTCGACTTTAAATAACAGTAGGCAGCAATGCTGCGTCATAAGAAACCTCACATGCACTTAAGGTGCTTTGGTACATCCATTTTTCAGGAGTCCTAAATATTAAAACTTGCCTGAAACTTGCTGCTCAGAGGCAGGAGTCTGATTTTCACCTAAAAGAGACATGATGTAAACCAATTCTTTGTGACAACAATCTAACAGGTCAATCACAAATGGTGATAAGGACCTGCAATGAAACAATTTATATGTAAAGCTCAAGGGGCAAATCTTGTCTGTATCTACCTGGTAGCTGTGGTTGGGTTACTGCCTCTCTGGGCTCAGAGGCTGGTGGGCCCTGGGACTCCATCACCCTCTTGGCACCCGCCTCTCTGCTTTAGATAATGGCATGGGCGATGGCAGAAAATGCTTAGGAAAACCTTTGAAGAACCAGGCACCAGACCTCTTCCACACCTGAGAAAGCAGGAAAAACTGTTATATTCTTTCCAAGAAACAATTCCATTTTGTAATTTGTTCACTGATGTAAAGCTTTCACCTCTCGCTGTTCTCTGCAGATCCTGCACAGCCACACAGCGCGTGGCTGACTGCTGCACTGTGTACCACACTTGGTACACATGTTCTACACAACAGGAGAAAATAAAGATATCCAGCAGCTTGCCATTTACAGTGCATTTACAAATTGACCTATTGTGTTTTGTGTGAATTGCAGCAGGAGAGTGGGTTGTCTTTTTAGCCGTGTAGTTATTGTCTGACTCATTACATACCTTTCTGCAGTCCTCACACACTACTGAGCTGACCCCAGGTGAGCCCAGCTGCTCCCCACACAGCAAACAGCGGGACACGCCATCCCCACACACAGTCTTCTTTATGTCGTCCAGATGGTTTATCAAGCGCCTGCAGCAGCGCAGGGTGAAATCTTACTAAAAATGTCACCAGTAATTATCCCAGGTTTAAATGTATGCATGCCATCTGTCTTATTTTTTTGTTTATATGAATATACAGGAGACACCACTGGATATCTTAAATCTCTCACCCAATTCTCTCCTGCTCCATGGCCTCCATTTTTTCAGCACGGGCGATCACACTGTTTATAATCTCTTTCTCTTCATCTGTCAAGTCTGGACCAGGACCAGGGCCTGGCTGCATGGTCCAGTTTCCCCTGTCAGCCAAACACACTCTCCAGTTGAAATTACATTACTTCTATGATTTTACTAAATGGCATCCAGTCACACATTTACACACACATCACCTTTAGCGTTATAACACAGAGGGTTAACACAATGAATGAATGAACATGAATTTACAATATCATTACATTACAGTGCATTCTGAACAGAGCAGAAAGACAATGAGATTGAGAGATGGACTAATCTACTTACTGCTCTTTATCACTGTGTTGCAGATCACACATGAGAGATGCAGGTGAAAGGAAAGAAGGTGCCGTTAAGCATCCATCTTACCATTAGAAAGGGTTAACAAGTGAAAAAGAAATATCCTGGCAGTAATGCTCACTTTGGATGCATGCTCCTCTGCCTGTCATTGGACACCCAGCGATCTGAGCTGCTGCTCATCACCGTATCAGTCATGTTGCACTGTTCCAGTCTGCAGGTGGATAGAAAAGAAGGCCAAAATTAATTCAGCACAAAATAGTCAATGTGAAAAGATGTCAGCTCTGTATTTAGATTTATTAAGTCAGGTTAGAATTCATAGTTTTGTCAAGTATAATGAGAAGCAATCAAATTCATGACTAGAACCATGCTTATGTCTATGTTATGTCTTGATTTATTTCATGTTTATGCATCTCTCACTTACTATAACTGTAATCATGAACAATGCACTTAAGTAGGCAGCTCACCAGATAATTGCCAAACAGCGTTATAGAGCTAAATAAAAGACACTGGTAACTATGATGAGCCAAGAAATTACTCAGCAAACAGTTTTCAGGAAAGCAATTATCATTTCCCCATTATCAAGCCTGAAATAGCCTGAAAAGATCCGTTTCCAATAGTAAAGCAAGCACATGTCCTTGTGCCAGAATTACAGCCTAATCAGTAGCATCTTCTCTTGCCAAGCCTGTTTTATCAAATTCTTTTTACAGATATGTTCAGGCAGTACATGGACACATTGCACCTAACACAAGCACAACAGAGTTTTAAAATATAAGCCTGTCCTGACATGCAGAGGTTACAACAGAGGTTGAGCTGCTTAGTGTGTGTATGGCAAAGGGAACAAAGGTCATGACAATGTAAGCCCCCCTGTACATTAATAATCAGAGTGAATTGATGCTGATGTGCAGTCTGGGTTGTTTAAATTTATGGGTATGCACTTTCCACAGGGGCAAGGGCTGAGGATATATGGATGGGGAAAGTGGGGGCAGCAATGCCAATTATTTTAGCAACTGTAAGTGAAACTGTGAGAAATGGCTTCCAGTTTGTGAGTCTACACTTTGAGGAAACAGATGGTTCCATATAGCAGGATTGGCTCAATTATGCTACAATAGAGGAGGAGGGATGACTAAGAGTCTTGGTCTCCAGCATTTGTTTGTTCATGATGTTGAGGCTGAGGTTTTTATCCGAAGTGATGTTTGAGCATTTACAGTTCTCAGCCACTGACACTCTTCCTCCAGAGATGCCGGTGGGATTGGGGGTGCTGTCAGGTGTTATGGGAAGGCTGACAAGCAGTTTATAAGATCTGTAGAAAGTCCCTCCATGTGGTGAAATCAGAAATGGATTGATTGTGGTCCAGAAAAGAGTTCATTGTTGCTAAGGAGCAGTTTAACGAAGTCTGTGGCATCAGAGTAGTTAAAGTACATGATCACAGGAGATAAACTTTAGTAGCTGCTTGTCTAAAATCCAGGGTGAGAACACAGTCTAGTGTTAATGATGATGGTGGAAAACAGTGAGCTGTCAACAATTTGAAGGTCTCACAGAGCCCTTATCAATGTGACACACCGGCAATGTAATTTAATCTCAGGGACATGGTAAAGATGATGTAAAGATGTCAGCAGAAATCACAGAGGCAAGCACCTATGGGGATATCTGCTGTGTGGGTGGGTAACAAGTGACTTAGAGCTACTCCACGTCTACTCCAGGAGGGATACTTGAGCTCCACACCATGTAAATACAGCAGTGTATGTCCTGAGGGGAAGTACTAGCAGTCAGAGAAGACCAGCGGGATATGTAAAGGGGAAACAAGAAGCCTCTCTGGAGCCTCAAATATTAAGAACTGTGATAATGCAGGATGAGGAGAGAGCAGTAGAGACGCTGTAAAAAATGCATTATCATAATGCTATAAGGAAAATTAATAAGTTTCACTTGTCTAGCTTTTCACAGCAGTAAATCTAGCACTACAGAACCTTGGAGAAAGTGAAAGATTGAGTGAAAAGGAAGCCGTCTCCCTCATTTGGTTGCTTGTATTATACCGTATAACGTCAGGCTTTGAACTCCAATATGCCTGCGGGATTCACAGAATAACAACAAATTTGCTGTGCTATCAATAGACACTCTGGGTGTGGGTTTTTCCCTCTGATGTCGCTGCTGCTGCATCCAGCCAACAGTGGCAACACAGTCTTCAGAGAGCAATTGTCTTTTTCCACTTTTCAGCAGTAATTTGATACCTCTGATAAACATTAATGACTGCACAGTATATATCATATATGCTGAGACTGCTGCCATCCTACACTTGCCCAAAGGAATTATTCCACTTTTGTCTAACATGATAGTCCTGGAGGGGTGAATGAAGAGGTACAGTAGGTAGGGGGCTTTTAGTCTTTGGCTGAGAAATGACTGACTTACTGTAGATGAGTAAGAGCTCTCTGCTGCTGGGGATAGACATTAAAGCACCACAGAAGTGGGCTCCTTGTTGGGGTGACAATCCAATTAGCATTCAGGAGATAGTCTGAGGGATCAGATGCACACTTTTCTCATTAAGGCCTATCAATATAGACTTTGATGTTTCAGAAAGTGCTGATTGGTTTAATCTACTGCACTACTGCAGCCATAGAGGGTTACATCTCAAAAGGTTTCAAATGTGCATACTGAAAATTTACCTAGGTCCAATTATAATGGATTGTCTTGTCCACGCTGTTGTATGGAGCCTTGTTATTCTGCAGTTATGACATCACCATGACCTTCAGACTGCTATCATCTGTTTAGGTTATAACATGCAACTAATCTGCATCATCTGTGACTTGATTCAACAGTCATCTTGTATGTGTATTGCACCGATATAAGATGACTCAGTCAGGTGGTGGGTTCTTCTCTGGAGAGTATCAGATATTCTCCTGCATGTTTTTGTTTTACAAAATGTCATGAAGGCAACGTGACGTGGCTGTCTGCAATGTGGTGCCCAGGAACTGTGCAAGCAACCACGCAACAATAGCTACAAATACACCAGGCATGAATAGTAACAGATCATGTGTGAGATGACAACAGGAAAGACCAGAGGGAGAGCATCAACTCAAGACAGTCATCTGCCTGATCATCATAAGTCATTCCATACTGCTGAATAAAATTTCATGTGGAGGTGGACAGGACCAATTTAGAAACCTGTGTCACCTCCTCATGAGGCTCTTCAGAGGTTGTTGTCAATACAACCTGCATGCATACATCTTCAGGGATGCATGCACACTCAACTCCCACAGCACACCATTGCCATTTTCAATCCGTTTTTATTAACACAGCCATGTGAATATTTGAAGTGAATGCTCAGCATGAGTAACTACCTGCTCAGATTAATGTTGATCTATGACTTTTCAGCAGCAGGTGCATGACTCATTATTGCAGAACACATGACTGGAAAAGGAATAGACTTCAAAAAAAGCACCTTGTTATGGCTGACAGTCTGATGGTTTTTCCAAGATTTTGGTACTTGCTTGTGACAAGCAGTGAAGAAGAAAACAGGCATAGTGACAGCAAGGAAGTGGGACACTGATGGATTAGCCAACATGGGTTATTATGGATATGGCCCTGAGAGCTTAAGGAGGGGATGGGGATAGAAGGAAAAGTCATCTCCTCGTACTGACAACAGCAAACCTCAGTCCATAAAAACAAGGTTTTACTGCAGAGTTTTCTTGTCGTTATCAAGCTATTTGTCCTATAACAGTAAGTTGTAAATCAATCAAAACTGACTATTCACCAAATGATTGAGTAATTTATTTAAAAAAATAAAAACACGAAATATTAGCGGCTTCCAGGTCGTCAAATATGTGCATTTGCTGCTTTTCTTTGGTCTGTTGGTTGGACTGAAGCGGTTTGAAGACACCGCCTTAGGCTTGGGAAATTTTGATGGGAATTTCTCAGTTACCTGACAATATATATACTAAACAAAACAGTTGCCAATAATGAAAATAATAGTTAATTGCAGCTGTGAATACAATTATTATTAAATAAACACTTGAAGCCTTCTCAAAAGGAGTGTGACTCCTACTTTTTTATTTATTTATTGATTATGTGTATTATCTTGAATTAATAAGAAATTTGTTAGTATACCGAAAATTCCCAATAAACAGAATTGAAAAAAGTGTGACTCTGCTGATCCTATTTGTACTTATTGACATATTTAACTGTACCAGTTATGTAGTTTTTGCCCGCCCTGCTATGTGTCCTATTTGTAAATGTATTGAATATCTTGACAGTGAAACACTATGTGGCACTTCTCTTGAATTCCAGGGCAACAATTCCCTTGCCATCCTCTAAGAAGGCCATGTCTCAAAATGGGTTAATGAAAAACAGATCAATGCAAAGTCCCACAGCTGGTTTCACTTTATCTCATCTTTCAACAGGCTTCAATTCATATTTTCATGCCTCAGGGCTAAAATTTACTATATAAAGAGCTATATAATGGAGCCACCACCCAGCATATGCATCCCACCAATCATTTCCTTCATTATAGCATGTGCCTTTTCCTTGTAAAACCTAATAAACCTACATACCTAGACACAATGTTTCACAGTGCTGTAAGAAACTAGCTCAGTAATAACACTGGTCATTACTAAAGGCTTAGACCGCCTTGTGTTCCTTTCTATTCATAATTTATCATGTAGTGAAAGTATGGACAGCACGGTTAAGCAAAGCAAGGCTAAAAGGATCCATCTATCCAAAAATAATCATTATTGTGAAGAACAGACATTTGATAAAAAACTTATGTGATACCGTCTTCTTCTCTTTTGACTATACTGTCAAAATATTTTACAGAGATGGCAAAGTATCGTTATATACATTTTATAATAAATGTGGAAAGTTCAAACCTTTACCATCTAGTCTGGTGGTCTGTTTTGTATTATGAAACAGAACACAGCCTGACTGGAGGGTCTTGGCTGATCTACAGCTTCAGGTTCTGTAGTGATCCAGAACATCATGCATGAGCATGATGACTGAAAAAAAGGCATTTTGTTCTTTTAATTCTCTTCTTCATTCATATCTATAAAGTCAAAGTCAAATTCACTGATATAAAAATCTTTTGGACAAAGGGAAGGAAATATTAAACCTGTACATTACAAATATGCAGACGAGTCAGTTGCAGTCATGCTACTATCTCAACTTAGAAATCAGCACCTTATTGATCATTAATAGCACAAGGCTTATATGACTGAAATAAAGAATTTAATGCCAAAATGGATCATCACAAATTTAAAGAACTGAGCAGTATTATGGAAAATGACCACAAATGTAAAGCCAATTAATGAGTATTTTTCTTATCGCTGAGTTATGAGTCATCTACTTGCCTCCACTAAATGTCACAATCAATAATCGTCTAAAAAAAGACATGAATGAGTTGACAACATCTTGACTCATTTTTAGGTTACATGTCCTACAACAGCTGCTCCTCCACATTTTGTGAAGACATGTGGGTTGGTGGTTTTAATGTCAAAAAAATTTTCAATGTCTATGCAGCTTTTACAGACAATAAAATGTCCAGTCTTGTAGCTGGTTCTGCCACACAGCTGACCAGGCCATAGGTACAAGTTCCAGCATGCAGAAATTACTAACAACAAAAGGTTAGTGCATGAAGTCTGATGCACACTGGCACAGATTACACACATCCTGCAGAGAGTGTAGCAACTCCAAAGGATAGAAACACCATGTAACAAGGAAGAGTCTTCAAATGTGCCAGAATCACTCACACCATGGAATCAAGTGGCTGCATATTCTAGTTCGGGGGCTAGGGTGCTAATCTGTACCCTGCTCACTAGTGGGATGCCTCTATGGTGGCAATGTCTATCAATCTACCAGACTAGAACATATCAGCATCTGTCAGATGGATTGTCATATGCAGACATTTGTCTCAAGTGAATGAATCTAGTGGCTTTGATCTCCTACCTTTAACCACCAGCAATTTAAAGTCTACTGGATGGACTGTCACAAAATATTTTACAGACATTCACAATTCCCAGCTGATTCTTATTATTTCAGTGATCCTCTAACTTTTCCTTGAGGGCCCCCGTGAAATTCACATTTGTGGTTTTGAATGAAATCGACAACTACTGAATAAACTGCATTGAGATTCAGTACACACATTCATATTTTCTTCATGATGAAGTGTAATAAATCCAGGGATTCTCCAGCTTTTCATCACCTGCTTCAAGTGCCATCAAGGCAAAATTTGAATTTGTCATTTTTTGGGGGGTTTGTAACCAAACTAATGGCATTCCTATCTGACTCAGCTTTATGTTGTATTTAGTGGTAATTAACAAATAATGGAACAATTAGATAGCACACATGTTAAACTTTATTTCTGCTAAACATTAGTATAATAGCATTAGCATTGTGAGCATATTAGCATGTCAAAGTCAGCATTTAGATCAACCCACCACATGGCTATAGTACTGCTCAAATTTAAAACATGCACCCAAGCTACAGTATATTTTAAGATTTGTCCTGTATACATCAGAACTATAGTACCATTAAAGTGTGCCATTTTTGTCTCAAATTGGATCAACAGAGTAAATTATACATTTTTGGATATTAAATAGTTACTTTACATTACCCCATCACTGTTCATTGATCCTAGATCTCATAGTCATTTGGTCTTTTAAATGATCTCTTCACACTATTCAGCTGCTGATGTCTAATGCTCACACACCAGGTATGTAGGGCGAGTTGGGAGACTGGGTAGAAAGGACCAAAAACAAAAGTACCCACCCATTTCAAATTGCATGACACAACTCCATTCATCCCCCACTCAGGGTTGTGAGATGCCAACATTGCAATATCGCAACACAGTGAGGCCTGAACTTGGCCAAGATTATGAAGCACTGCACCAAGATGCCTTCCATTGCAGGAGAAAAACATCACTCAGCATTTCTTAATTATTTACAACTCCCATCACCATCATTGCCTTTCACTCTGCAAGTTCCCCACTTTCAGTTATTAGTGTATGTGTTATAGTTGTTCACCTTTACATGCATTATGTATAGAAGTGCTGATTCCAGGAGAATAAGATCACAGAGAGTCAGACAGATTGAGAAGTGAACTCTATTTAGGGAAACAGAACTGTTGCTTGTTGGTCTTTTAGCTCTGTGGCATTGACAAATTATCTTTTTTTTTCTCCACTCAGACAATGGTGTTGACAGGGACCATCTGTGCAACCATCTGTGAGGACTCTTCACCTCTCAAATGTGAGAGTATTGCATCATTTCAAATACACACAACTACATCCTTTAGGCAGGCATGGCTCCAGGTCCCGCATCGCTGGAAAACAAACAGGAAAGAACAGCCAGTGACCAACAAGTTACCATGCTGTTATCCTGCCATGGCTATGGGCCTGATCCAACAGACCTAAATGGGGTGGGCAACATGTTTTTCATTCTTAAATCAACATTTAAAAAAAAACAACTGCACTCCAGCAAGAACCTTCAGTACACAAGTCTCAAATTTGTGAGGCAGATGGTGATTCATCCCTGTATGCCCCAGAGGTAAGAGGTGGGATTTTGAGAACTCACTGCTGATGCACTGGCCAGTCATGCTCCTTCAGTTTCCTCCCACCTTATCTTAAGTACTACAACCAAGCACTACCAGATCAGGTCATTATATTAGTGCAGCAGACAGCTGTTATAAAGACCCTATGCATCCATCCTAACCAGAAGCAACTGGTTTTCAGTAAGAATAAACTACATGGTTCATCCGATCTATAAATTCTTAAGTGTGATGGCCATGGTTCTGTTTATTTCTTGCTCTGCTTTGAAGATTTGGCACAGTCCAGCTGCTGGATATCTGACCTTCCCTGTTGTCCCACCAGCAAAGTAGAGCAGGTACAGTACCTGTAGATCTCTATTAAAGATGTTATTCTAGTCTGGGAACACTGCAACACTAAATATAAGCTTTGATCCAACTTTTGAGACAAAACCACTCTTTGGAAGCATAACTATATGATGTAAAATGCATAGTTTGTTTATCCAGATGTCACTCTGAGCCTGTGGGGAAAGAGGATTACTGCAGTTTCAACATGACAGAGGTGATTCTAAATAACTAAACTGTTAGAAATGATAAATGGCAGTGGACAGGTAAGAAATCATATAAATTATGGATTATAGATCCAACCACAGCCCAAATCTGTTTTGGATTTCTAACTCTTTGCCCTCTTGAGGGATCTTTGTTTAAAGGCAATGTTAATCAGTCTTACTGCCGCAGTAAGACTGAGGGCAAATACAAAAATGTGAAAAACATGTGTAATAACCCCTCATTACCTTACTAAGTGAAATACCATATCCACTATGTGAAATGCTATGTGCAATATTTGAAATTCACTATCTTATTTTTGCATTCATGTTTTTATACTATGTTATCCTTACATAGCTTTACTTTTAGACTAGGTGTTCTTTTTTTCTGGCTTTTAACTCTTTACTTGACACCAAAAGAGCCCTGCACAATAATTCCTATATGTCTGGACTGTCTGTTTATGCATAAATGGCAAATAAAAAAAATCCTGACTCTTGAATTATGCCTGTCTTTTCAAATATGCCAGTTTTTAGGCAGATCTAATTGCCAGAGTCAGAACGGCCAGTAAATCAATTCCCATCAACCGCTCAGATGATAATTTGAAGATGAAGCCACTCCCTTCTGAAGCTCAGACACAAATGGCAGAATAATGGTTATCTTACAACAATTTAAAAATATGGTCAATGTTATGGTTTAGTCCCCCTCACCAGGAGGGGGAGGGAGAACTGGGGTTGGACTCAAGATGGCTGACCCAGGTGCTAGTACAAAAAAGGTGGTTTAATGGAATAAAAACATCATAACAGGGTCCATAATACATACAATAAGGGAAGGGCAGTGATGACTAAGGAGACCAGGACGGTAAACACACAAACTAACGACAGGAACTAGGAAAGCAGGAGGATGAGAAGGACAGGTGAACAAAAAGAACCAACGTACACAATGTAATCCACAGCACAGAGACTGTCAGCGTAGCTTCTTACACACGTCTAAAAATGCGGGTCAAACATAAACTTTTAACTTACATAGGGTAAGTATTGTCCATTACATGTCGCAAAAAAGCTGGACTTAAATTTTAAAAAACTAACTAAATAAATAAAATTAAAAATATTTTAAAATAATGCATTGTAATAACATTAAATAAGGAAAGATTTAATGCTTTATATATGAGGTATTGTTTGCAAAAAAAAATTTCACTAACAAATAAATGTACAGTGTTAGTATACATGGTAATGTTACTTATATTTGGGATCAGTTACACTTTCTGTGCAGGGTACAATAACCAACACATATTTAGAGTACAACATATGATTTGGGTTCTAAGCTCCATACAGGCCTATTCTGAAGAGCATAGAGGAACATAAGAGTCATGCACCTTTACCAACTGTGGCCATGGTAACAGCAAGATCAGACGATGAGAATTAGAATGATTAAACGCTGTGTGTGCGCACCAGGATATGTGTTTGTAGTAAGCTGTATCTGTCTAATTTCAAACTCCATGCAAAGTCCAAAGCCCATGTCACTGGTGCAATAACAGTGTCAGTGGATCACTGTTCATATCAACAAATGTGGTTGCAATTTGTCAGCAATGATGCATCTGGCTTGGATAGTTCTTAAGTCGTAGTTAAAAAGATAGTATGGTGAGAGGGAAAAACAAGGTGAAGACATGGGTTTATGGGTACAGTCACCTACATCTTAAAATAATTCTGTTAATATGCAGAGCACTTACTGCGAACCCATTTTTTTACCTTTTCCCATACTCCTATTTGTTAGTGCTCTCCATCATTTTCTCTCATTGTATGGGACATGATGACAAACAATTTTCCTCTTTTCTCTCTCTTGTCTAATTCCATTATTTCTCTGTACAGAAAACAGCGTGGGGCTGGCAGAGAGGCAGAGAAATAGAGAGCGGTACCAGCATATGGGTGTCGTCCAATCACTACTGTGCTTGCTCATGTGAGCGGAGGCAGTTGCAGATATCTCTTGGACCGTTCATTCAGTCTTTCTCCCCTCCCCCATATAATCCCCATGCTCCAGGACTGTAGGAGGAGCTGGAGATGATGGAACTGAGAGGCGATTCTTCCCACCTTCTTTTTTCTGTCCTTCTGTACAAACAATAGCAGCAGTGAACTGAACAGGAGCAGTAAGTCTATTTACAACAGCTCTGACCCCCTAAGTGTAATAACCCACTGGTGCAGGATAACATCACAACAAATGGGCAACTGAGTCATCTATCCTGTGGCACAGCTGGAGCTGAGAGCTGCCCTGCCCACATCAGCATTTGCAGGCATCACTGATGGTTTTCCTTCTAGTCTGCAAGCACACCAAGCCCCAGTGTGTGCTCCTAAAAATCCAGCAGCAACGCCCAGCAAACGCAACCATACAATCTCCCACGATACTTACCAGGTCTGTTTTCTTATATCAGCTCTGCAATAAGGAAGCACCCTGGTTGCAGGAGTGCAGGCAGCCGCCACTCTTCTTAAACTTAATTTTGAAGGGATTATAACATAATCCATACACCAAGACTTACATTTATTACCCATTTATGAATAAGCGGAATACATGATCATAACACCAAAGCATGTTGTAGTAAATCCATGCAACATTTACAAAAGAAGGTAATCAGCTCTTTCACCATCTCTGCATGAATGATAGGATCATTCTCCTGCAGAGCCATGTTTTCAGTAAGATATGTTTTCCCTAAAACAAAGGAATCAATCAAAGGTTTATTTGCATAATTGGCACCTCAGATAGGTTAATTAGTAGCAGCTCATGCATACTGATTGCACTGCACACATTCGCAAATCTTCCCTTTTCATTCAAATGACTCAGTAAGTAACAGGCTCAAAGGCTAAAGACAATGAAGATGTTCCACCAAATTAATAAATATTGTACAGGCAATGGTATATGTGAGTTCTTACGAGATCATTTCCAGTTCCTCTTTCTTGTGAATGAAATGCTGCATTCATTCAACTTGTAAATAAGAAATTCGAATGTATATGCAAATAACGCAATAACCTCACAAGGAAAATACAATAGGCTATTTGAAAATCCTTTGAAGAAAATTGCAAAGCCTACCTGAGAATCCAGCCCTGCCTCCCTCTCTCCTCTCGCTCAAGGGAGCTGTCAGGGAATGATGCGGACTAAATTTCTGTGCAGCGCCTGGATCTGACCAGAGTTAGTCACTGCGCATGGTGCCTGTCACCAAAATCTGTTTTTATTTTTCAGCCTGGGGAAAGGTCTGCTGATAACGTCACGGTGGAAACCATTGACTGTATGGTGGGAACTCGTCTTCTGTCCTGCGTGGATGGAAAGCCCTTGGTACCCTGGGAAGGAAACCCCTGGATTCGGAGTGATAACACCAGTGGATCTGATGCTTAAATGGGCAGTCATCACTTGATTCATTTCTCCCTATAACAACCCCATGGTGTGTCTCATCGTGTATGAAGCCCTGTCACTGCCATTTTTTAATAAGATAATTGCGCTTTATGGTATTTTAAAACATGCACATTACAACATCGCACCTTTATTTAAAGTTTTATTTGCATTTGAATGTAAAGGTTTTTAAAAATCCGTAGCGTAGAATTGACATTTTACCTTAATTTTAAGAGAGGCTTGCTTTTAATTTCGTGTTTATTATTATTATTGTTCATAACTAAGGATCCTCATAAATGTCTGCGCTATACAGAAGAAATACAGGAAAACAACGGGTGTCTCCAGCCATTTGCTGGCTATTAACTTTAATTCACATGAGCTGGGTTAGTAGTCTAATACTTTCCAGCAACAATTTAATATCCAAGAAATAACTACTGAAATCCTAAGATCAGGAGCGTACCAGCACCACCATTCTTACTATTGACACAGAGCGCCATCTGAAGGATTAAATATTCATTGCATGAAAGGATGAGATTTCCTCCTATAGCATTGCTGTAGAACGTATTCCTATAGCCTATAACCTAACATAAGTGGAATAGTACAAAAGTGCAAAAACACACAATGTAAAAAATAATTTGGATGTACAATGTAAGATGCACCATTTTAGTGCCTGATGTATGTTTGCCACACCTACACAGAGGAAAAGACTGCAAGCAACGCAAGACAATAGCCTTCTTACTTCCGTGTTCGTATTCTGCCTCATGAGAAATTAAAATTGGAACGTATTATGGTATAGGCCTAGCTATCGATCTGCTACCCAAAAATAAATGTTTCGTTTCAACCTGGCGACAAGTATGAGACCCAGAAAAACACTACAAATAAATGGTTAACGAGCACCCAATGCGCATGCGTAAAACAATTAGCTGCTGCAGCCCTTAAATTGTGATAGCCATCCTGTTATCTCAGCTAGTTATGTGTTGTCTTTTTTAGCAGTGTAAGAAAGTGTACGCTAACTGACACGAAGTATACAAATACCGCAAATAATCAGTTGTGCAAGCTACAGCCATTGGGCTGTGTCATTGTGTGAATGATCTTGATATTATATATATTCTTTGGTCACATGATTGCGTATTGCCGCTGTGGTCACCTGATTTGTTGTGTCGCTGGTAAGGAGAAATGGCTGCCCACTTATCCTACGGTAGAGTCAATTTAAACATTTTGAGAGAAGCAGCACGAAAAGAGCTTCGAGAGTTTTTAGACAAATGTGCAGGAAGCAAGGTAATGAGCACACAAACACATAAAAGCATGGCTGAAAGAGTGCCAGTTAAGCTACGTTAGTGTATTTTGCCTCAACGTAGCTATCGTGGAGTTGTCACATGGTCAGTAAAATAGATAATATTGCAATTCTGCAAGAGTTAGTTATGTTTTTGAGTGTAAGTATAGTTAAAATAATACTGTTTCTCTCGGTGTAGCTACAGAGATATCTGGTTACGAGTTGTAGTTTTCTTTTTGTGTGGCTGCATATGACTATATTATTGTAACCAGTAACATAATCATAGGTGACATTGAATGCAAGCGTTTACGTACACAGATAATGTTTCAGATTGTGCTTATGAACTGTATGTTCTTCTGCTGTTTAGGCCATAGTTTGGGATGAATATCTGACAGGACCATTTGGCCTGATAGCTCAGTACTCTCTGCTGAAGGTAAGTGTTTTCTGTGCACAATTTATGTACCAATAAAATAATCCAACAGACACTGCCCACATAAGGTACAGTGTATAACTAAACACATGTTGTACTGTATGTTTATTACTGTGCCTTTTCAGGAACATGAAGTGGAAAAGATGTTCACCCTCAAAAGTGGCAGGCTCCCCTCTGCCGAGGTCAAAAATATCATCTTCTTTGTTCGTCCCAGGCTGGAGCTTATGGACATCATTGCTGAGAATGTTTTCAGGTCTGTTAGGTTAAAAGACTTTTTTCAGTGACATATTTCAGGAACCTTTCTGACATTTTCCAGAGCTGTGTTTATCCATTCTTGTCATGGATTGTGCATATTTTAGAGAGGATAAGCTGCATTCGTCAAGAGACTTCCACATTCTGTTTGTGCCTCGGCGGAGCTTGCTGTGTGAACAGCGGCTGAAGGAGCAGGGCGTGCTGGGCTCCTTCATCAACATCGATGAGTATATCCTGGACCTGATTCCTTATGATGGTGACCTGCTCTCCATGGAGTATGAAAGCGCTTTCCGGGTGTGTTATACCTTTACATCTCAGATTTATGTCAACCTCTCTGCTGCTCTATGCATGAAGTATCTCTGTGTTGTAAAGTGAAGATTAGGTTTGAAATTAATCGCAAGTCAGTCAATAGTTTAGCACATGATCATTGTTACTCATATTTGTAAGATCTGGTGGAAATATTTTAAATCCAATACTTCATCTTGATTTTTAACTGTTGTTTATTTAAACGGTCTTTTCTGATTTTAACTCCCTTTTGTCTCATTCAGGAGTGCTACCTGGAAAATGACCAAACAAGCCTTTACCACACAGCCAAAGGCCTCATGACCCTACAGGCACTGTATGGCACCATCCCCCAAATATATGGGAAAGGAGAATGTGCACGGGTGAGTATCATTGTGAGGTGGAAGCATTTTGAACAGTATTATATTGAAATTGCTAATTGCACATGGACAGACACTCGGCAGCAGATAAGTGGATGAATTTGTTGCTTGTTTTCAGCATGTTGCCAACATGATGCTGAGGATGAAGAGGGAGTTTGCTGGCAGTCAGAACCAGATCCTGCCTGTGTTTGACACTCTGCTCCTTCTGGACCGTAATGTTGACCTGCTCACCCCTTTGGCCACACAGCTCACTTATGAGGGTCTGATTGACGAGATCTATGGAATCAGTAATGGTCAGGATAAACTGGTTTGATTTTTTTTTTTCCTCATTATGTACAAATGTCAGTCTAATGTGAATACCTGATATCTGTATATCCTCCTGTGTTATTTGAATGTACTCATCTTTTTTTTTTTTTTTTTTAACATCACCAGCCCTTGTTTTTTTGCCTTCTGCCTCACAGGTTATGTCAAGTTGCCTCCTGAGAAGTTTGCACAGAAGAAGCAAGGTGAAGCAAGTAAAGATTTACCAACTGAGCCCAAGAAGTTGCAGCTTAATTCAGCAGAGGAACTATATGCAGAAATACGGGACAAAAATTTCAACGCTGTTGGAGCAGCACTCAGCAAGAAGGCCAAAATTATTTCTGCTGCCTTTGAGGTTGGTCTTACTTCAGCTTTGCAAATCTTAGTATTTTTGCTTGCTATAATATTTTTTATAATGTAATGTCTCCTTCAGTGAACAAATGTATAAACAATCTGCTACACAGCCAGGTACTTCTATTGAGCTGTAATGGCTTACGTCCAGACATCCCATCTGATTTGATCTGATTGTTATCTCCTTGGCATTTTACAGAAAAAGTCATGACAGATACTCTTCGAGATAAGGGGAAGTAATGGTAATCACAGAGAGATAAGATAAAGTACTAATTGTTCAAGCAGAGTGCCTAACAAGGCATTACCATTCTGTCATCAGCTCAGAACTCGGGTACAGGGAGCGGTGAGCATGTGC